AATGGAGGCAGAAGATGTCTTTCAGTCATCAATGCTCACATTCAGAGACACACAGGAGCTCTTTAAGCTGGACACCGTTTCATTCACAACACCTGTCCCATCAACCAGGAATACTTTAATAATCCCAGGGAGGGATTACTTTAGTTACATTACTCCATCTGTAATAGAGTGACTATAGGAGCAGTTAGATAGAACACTATTTCATTCACTATATATAATCAGGGGGCCCCGCTCCATCTCTCCATCAGTTTGGGGTCCTTGGCCTGGAAAACCTTGAGGACTCCTGCCTTAGAAGGTTCCTGCACACATAATTAATCCTCAGACTGATTTTAGATGTTATTAAAGCTCATGTATCTGGAGCAGGCGGTGGCCCGCCATCATCAAAATTACAGCAGAAGATCATCTGCTCATAACTTAAACAAAGGGTTTAGGAGTGGATCCATGGTGGGACGGGTTCTGGACTCCTGGACTGATCCAGACCACTTCAGTCAGCAATAAGCAATAAGTGTGTTCAGGTCATTTAATGCTCATCATTAATGTACGTAGATGACATCAGGTCAAACCAGAACTCACTCTGACCTGAACGCTAGGCCTCAACCTTCTAGCCAAATATCAAAATTACGATTATCTTCAACCAATGTTGTGATTTTATTGCGATTTTTCCTTTCCACTAAGTCACACACATGTCAATGTTTTTTCATGACCTTGAAAGCCTGCTTGTCTAGAATCCAGCGCTGCAGGACTTTGCTGTAACATTTGCATGGAAAAGTTCTTAGTTCTACTATAATGCATAGATCTAGATTCTAGCTGCTACTCTGTTCCCTTCTGTGCGGCAGGATGTCCACTTTAATCGTTTTACTGCCACCTAAAGGGCTGGGAAGAAAAATGAGTGTTCTATTACTGTTAAATGTATTGTGACTAAAAATGGGTTCTATGCAATTTGAAAATTGCATTATTCTAAATTGCGATTATATTGCAAATGCATTTAATTGCCCAGCCCTACTGAATGCTGGGATATTCTGGGGTCTAAACCTCCTCATGTGCTCCAGAGGGGCACTTTGCCTGGACCTGTGTGGTCCAAAGCACCAGCAGCTTTAGAAAAATCCTGGATCAAAAATAAAAGTTGTAGTTCCACAGGAAGTTTGCTTTGGGATGTTTGGGCTAATTCATGCTTACAGTTCCTAGACAGTGATAACTATCATGCAGGTAAATATCAGGAGAAATTCAACAATAGGAATGCTATTTTACAGGAAGACGCACGTTTGGAGCTACGCTGATTAAAAAAACCTTTGATTCTTTATCGGCCATTTTTTTTTTTCCCTTCAACAAATTAAAGTCTATTAAAGGCGTTTCTGTCAAACTCTGAGCAAAAACATCATCCAACGGCAACAGTATCTACATGAGAAATAATAAAGTTAAGCTACCAGAATATTGTTAAAATAGGATAAGTACTTTACTGTATTACAATATATTAGTGGTTTTTAATGTAGGCTGATAAAATAAAACAAATAAGAAAACGGAATCACAGAATGGGAACCAAGCTGAGGCTTAATTAAGCCAGGATATCCAGATAATCCCAGCTTAATCCCAGCTTAATCCCACATCCCGCTGTTGAATTAAACCTCGCGTCTCTTTTGTTCTGCTGTGATTATATTTCTCATCTCTGACTGACTTCCTGTGGAGTAACATAGAATAGCAGCTCTGATCAGAGTTCAGTGGTGATGGAGCCGTTTGCTGATTCTTCAATATATATCATCAAACTCCTCCTCTGCGTCCAACAGGTTTGAAACCATCATGGGGAAAAGGTCGAGAAGGTTTAAGGAAGCAAGAAAGTCTGGCACCAGTGAGGACTGTAAGTAACCCTAGCCTAACCCTTTCCTAACTGGTTTCCAGTGGTGCTTTTTAGCTGGGAAGGACATGATGGTATTCCACTGTCCAGTTTACTGCTATTTAAATGATCATCCGGTTTGTTTCCCTCTAGAGGTTTGATCATGTGGTTCTCTGCTGTTTATCATCATGTATTAAAGTACCAGAGAGGCCTGACAGCAGCAATGTCTGCAGAGATGCAACTGCTGTCGTCTTTTTGCTAATCCATTAATATTCAGATAGCAAAAGGTTTGTTAAAGATTTTATTTTAACAGAATTTAAACCTGGTGAAAGTTTTCCATCTATAGGGAACATTGACGATTGGGAAATATCTCCTGCTCCATTCTCCTGTCATTAGGGAGCAGAACCTGCAAGATACTTGAATTCCTCCACTAGAGACAGGAACTGTCCTCCGACCTGAAGGGGACACGCCATCTTTTTCAGAACCAGAACCATGGCCTCAGACTTGGATCAGCCGCTTCTCATCCCCTCTGCAGGAGGGAGCCAACAGAACCACGTCATCCGTAAAAAGCAGAGACCCACTGGTCCCCAAACCAGACCCTCTCTGGTCCTTGGCTGCACCTGGGAATCCTGTCCATAAAGGTTCTGGACAGGATGGGAACCACAGGGAGGTGCTGATGGATCCCAACATGCGCAGGGAAACGGGTCCAACTTAATGCCGGCAATACGGACCCAACTCCTGCTCCCATGACCCCGACTCCGTGTTGCTGAAGCGCCCTCTACAGGGCACCACAAGGAACACGGACCAAGGCCTTCTGCAGGTCCACTGTTCCACGGCCAGAACCAGAACCACACCGCTCCTCCTCAGCCCAGTCTGCTTATCCAGGGCCACTGACCCAGACCTCCATAGGAGGCTGAAGAGGGGTCTCAGCCATGACGGCCCGAAGACAAAAAACAGTTTAAGGTCAGATCGCCATACGCTTCAAAAACACCAAAAAGTAAATAATTAAATCGTTTTTTTGTACATGAGTAAAAGGATTACTCGCCCGTTCAGGTAGTTTAAAGTCTATTTTTCATACAAAACTTAATGGATAAACTGGTAGTAACTATGGGTATGCTGGTCTGACTGGGTATGCTCATCTGACAGAACACCACCACTCCCCCCCCCCAGCTTTTTATTGTCATTTCACTCACAAGTACAGAGCAACATCCAGAACTATGAGGCCACCGTGGAACGTTTCTATCAAGCATCTGACTTCCTTCCACCGTGCAAACTCTGCTTTGGAAACGCAACAGCTGCTGTCAGACATGGAAAACACACAACCTCTTTATAATATAAAGGTTTTATTTCCAGCAGTGAAAAACAGCCAACGTTCTGTTGGAGCTTTAATCTTTCCACATGTAAACAGAAGCTTTGATGATATTTTTCTTTGTTACTGTCAGACAAAAGAAATGCTGCACTAATGAGAGCTCATAGAGTTTGTTTCTAGAAGCTGAGACTGAGTGCGCTCTGTGTGTTTGCAGGCTGTGCTCTTTGCAGGCGCAGTGACGACGACCCGGCCATGTTTGGAGAGAAGCTCAAACTGGAGGAGGAGAACTTCTCCGTCCATTACTTCTGTCTGGTGAGTTCTCATCAACAGGCTTCAGACGGTCTTCAGTACGAAGCTTTAAATATCTTTAAATCACTGTTGCCATGGAAATAATCTGTCTAGAATAGGTTTTTCTGAGGATCATCTGCGGCGTCTCACATCAGAGCCTTTATGCTCCAACAAGCCATCATTAAATTATTAAATCAGCTGACGGGTTAATTTAATAACCATTTAATCATGATTAACCGATTCAGCCCTGGTATCCATCTGTTCTTTAATTGTTTTTTTTTTATTAATTATGGAAAAAAAATTTATAATTTTTTCTGACTGTAACTCATTTTAAAGCAGCTCCTCTAATTTCAAATGAATGCAAAGAAGAAAGGAAATAAAAAAAACAACAGTTCTATTTGCTGAGATAAATTTAAATCAAAACAGTTTATTCATACGGGGCTAATTCATATCACAGCATCTTTATATGAGTTATAGAATCGATTCAATCAATTATCCAAACCGATTCATTAACGGTTTTCTCTATAAAGAGACCCAGCTGATGGCATCGAGCCGTTAGCTATGCTGACATTCAAAGAATTTCAGAATTGGATTAAGAACTATTCTCAATGTAAAATTAATCGTAATAAATAAAATATGTAAAGAGGTCATTTATAATAGGCCTGGGCAATTAATTGCATTTGCATTATCATCGCAATGCAATAAAATGTAATTTTCAAATTGGAGACACACTTTTTTCTAACTCCGGCACTGTAAGTGCCGGTAATAAAATGTTAAAAATGGATTTGTCTTCAGAAAAAAAGAGAAACTTTCAGCTAGCATACAGGTCACAGGCAACAAGCTAAAGTTACAGTAAAGTCCTGCAACAATGGACTTTGGACATTTTCAAGGATTTAAAAAAATTGTAACCCTGGAGTGAAACATCTTGCTTGTCTGTAGTGCAAAGTGAAATTTACAATAAATAAAATTGCAATATTGGTTGAAAATAATCTCAATTTAGATTTTTGGTAAAATCGTTCAGCCCTAGTTTGTAATAATCCTAAAATAGTGTCAATGTGAGCCGTTCACTGTGTCGCTACGTATCCTCCTGATGATGCGGCCTGGCTGCTCGGCCACAGGCTCCTTTGGCTGACTGTTGACAGAGCGGGACGTTAACCCAGGAGATCAGATCTCTCTGCACCTTTACACAGTTTTTAGACCCAGCTTTGTTAAATACCGACTTAAAAGAAACAACGAAAAAAGTTTTTTACACACCTAATTTATAGGATAAACAAAATAGAACCTGCTGGATATAGAAAAGATTCATTAAAAATGTGTAACGCATAAAATTTACAAAAAGCAGGGATGTAGAACTATCATTAATAGACAAGCTGATGCTAACTGTGAGATAGCTCTCTGATTTTAGTTTAATCCACCAATCAGTTCTGTTAGCAGAGGTTTAAACAGGTTGGAATTCTGGTTGGAATTACAGTACTGCTCAATCGTTTTGCCAAAAGTCTGAATTGTGATTATTTTTAACCAAAATGCGATTTCATTTCAATTTTCTTTTGCACCAACCCAAATTTGTCGATGTTTCATCCCAGGCTTTCAGGTTTTAAAGTCTGCTTGCCCAGAATCCAAAGTGTTTACTTCATGCATGCATGGATCTGCGTGCTAGCTGCAGCTCTCACTATCTTTCTGAATGTTGAAGAAATCCCACTTCAAGCGTTTTACCGCCATCTAAAGGGCTGGAGGGAGACATTTAGTGTCCTACTTTTCCTAAATATAGCCAGATAAAAAAAAATCAGTGCTTTGCGATTTCAGAATTGCGTTTTGTTAAATTGCTTTTATATTGCAAATGCAATTAATTACTCAGCCCTAGTTGGAATGTTAGAACTCGGATCATGAAGGTCATTTCCTCATAGAGCTTCTCCATCTACCATGCTATCTGCTAGCATGTTCCAAAGGTTTATCGTAGGTTTTCCATCATCGTCTCCTTCTGATGGGAGAAGTTCTGCTGCTCCTCCATCAGCGCTGCTAAATGGGCCCATTTAGGAGAACTGAAGGAGTTTATCTGAGTTTATTTTCACTAAGAGAACCACAGGAAGTTCATTCTGGATCCTTGGATCCATTAAAGGAAAAATCCAGTCAGCAGAAATAATCAATGTATCATTATCTATACCTAAAACTAATACGTTTGTGGTGATTTAATGAATTTAGCGTTAATTAGTAAAGAAATAAAAACAATATTTTTCGTCACAATCACTGAGTCCGGGAGCGGCCATTTATGCCCAAATACATTAACCCCTCCCTCCTGCCATCTTCCAGCAGTGAGGTCACGGTGCGGTAAGCCTAGCGCCATTCTCCCCGCTTTCCAAGCTAAATCAATGGGAACTACTAGACACATCTGCAATCAACAACAATTATTGAAGATTTCCAGAGGACTTCACCATTGAAATTCACCAGAGCTATAGTGAAACTGACAATGCCCACGTGCATGGCAGCTGGATGCTGGAATACATCGGGTAAAAGTGAAAAAAAGAGTTATTCCACCTTTCTGATTCCTGATCCTCCACGGACGGGTTGGTCGTTGGATCGCCAACTTGAAGAGGGAGGATTTGCCATCGAACTTCTGGCCAGAGAAAAAACCCGTAATATGTAGCCAACATTTGGAAGAAGAATGTTTTCAAGATGACTTGGATAATAGCGCGTTGTGACAAACACCAGATACAGCACTGGGACTTGATCAACAGCCGATACCGCACCGTGACAATGTCACTAACCAGTAGGTGGCAGTAGTGTTCTTTGACAAACATGGATGCCTCCAGTAAAGCACATTCACATGAAAATGACTCTGAATTAAAAACACTGATCATTTATTGAACAGGATGGAATCATTTCAGATTTAAAGAACTTTTTTATTCTGAATATGAACGACTTTTCCTTTTAAACAGTGGAAAAAATGAGACTGGATTCTGGATCCTTTCATGGTTCTATTCTAGCATGGCTCCACTCTGACATTAGTTCCCTCACAGATACCGCCTCCTTCCCACTGAGAATAACGGGTTAATGCGTGTTTTTTAAACTCTCTCGACAGCATCTACCTCCAGTCAGCAAAAAAAAGCTGCTCTATCCCCTCCCTGGCAGCTGCATGGCCTCTGCCCTCCTGCAGCTGTCTGGTGACACCATCACACTGGCTTAGCATTGATGATGTCACCAGAACGACAAAAATCAGGAAAGTAAACAACCCAGAGCAACATGTCAGGAAGCTAGGGTGTAGCTAGTGTGCTTTATTGTTTCTATATTATCTGTCTGAATCCGTCTCACCAGAGCTGCTCCACATTAATCGAATGTATGAATGAATGAGTTGTTTCTGCTTGTTAGATCAGAAGCGACTGGCGCGGCGTGTTTACTTTCGTACGTTGCGTATCAAATAATTCAGCTGGTCAACTGGCTCTATGTTCCCACAGCATGCCGATCAGAGCCGAGGCGATTTTAACGCGGGTCGCTTGCCGAGTCTTTTGACCCGGGTGGACACGCATCTGTTCCCACTGCCACTAAAAGCCCATTGTTCCCAGTTTAAACGGGTTTTTAGAGCCAGTGAGGCTCTGCTTACAAATGAACAGTGGTGCCCTCTAGTGGACGGCAGTAGCATTACGTCCCTTTAAGTGAAAGTTATCAGTTAATTAGATGCAGCAATTTTATTTTAATCAACTAAAACCAATAATTGACAAGTAATCGTATGTTTATTGTTTACATCCCACATAATTAGTGAACGTTTCCACATAAAGAACAGAGGGTTTAATGCAGGTTATGCAGTTCTTTGCATTTGATCTTGATGCTTTGTTCATCGGTCAGCAGTAATGATGTCTGAGATTAATAAAAATGGGTGGATTAGGGCTTCAGTCTGATAGATTTGGTTCATCACTGCTTCATTAAAAGATGAGGAACCTGGAAACAGGACAAGTTGCTGCAGAGCGGCTCCAGAGAAGGTTGCTGCCTCTCTGGTTACGGCTAGTTCGCACCCTGCAGTCTTCCTGTTGGTTTGTTGCTCAGGAGGCTTTTTGATGTGTTGTGCAGCTGACGTCGAGTGGAGTTTACCAGCGAGGAGAAGAGAGCGAAGGCGTCTTTGGTTTCCTTGTGGATGACATCAAACAGGAGATCCGAAGGGCCTCTCGCCTGGTGAGTGCTCGGGTTTTATTGATCAACGCTGCACAGGTTCCCATCAACATCAAAACCATTTCTAACCATTAAGCAACAAAGAGTTGGTTTCATTTTCCCAAAGAACAAATCAGACAAGACATCAAATGAATAGACTTAACATGATTTAACTGAAGAGGAAAAACTTCTGATCTAACATGACATAACTGGAAATGAACTGGTTAAACAAAATGAACAAAGGAGGCTCATACTGATCGATTAGACCAGAAGAGTTTAGGGGAACATCATATCTGACAGATTTAACGAACATAAAGGAACACTACGCCCAGAGCGCTGAAGAGTGTTAGGGCTGAATGAACCTAAACCCCCCCACCCCCCACATCGCTTGTTCTAAGCCTTTCTACCCCCCTAACCTGGGCAACAACCTTAAACCTACTGGTTCACCTGTAAAGCCGTCCTGAGTAGCAAAGCTCTGACAAACTATGGCTGAATAAAAAAACATTCGTCTTTTTAAACACAAGAAATTTGAAGGTTATATTTTTCTGTTTCAGAAAGTTTATGTTTCTTATATTTCTTTATATTTCTCTTGATGGACTTAGGATTGTTGGAAACTTGGAGTCTTTTCAAAAAGCCGACCGTAGCTGAAAGTGACCTTTAGCTTCGCTATTGGAAGACAAGCAGGCCTTGATGTTTGAGTGTTTGTGCCGCAGACGTGTTTTGGTTGTAAGAAGAAGGGAGCGTGCGTCGGCTGCAACGTCAGGAGCTGCAGGAGGGTGGTCCACTTCCCCTGTGGGAGGAACCAGATGTTCATCACTCAGTTCACCGAGATGTTCCCGTGAGTATCGACCCCAAACAACACAACCATAGAATCCAGATGAACAATGAAGATTTCCCATTACAGCCTGATGGTGCACAGTGAAAAACACATTTAGGTTCAACTGCTTTTAACATCCGGTTCACATTGAAGACCCATTTACATGTATGAGAGAATATTCATTTCAAGGTGTTAACATGTAATTATGCATAAAAACAGCTGTAGACTGTTAGGAGAAACGATTATAAAACTCTGGGATGTAAAAGTCTTTGGAATCAGAGACGGCGATGAGAAGACGCTGGAGGCGGGAACGTTGTTTAACTAAATGTGTGTTTGCCTCCAGGTCTTACTGTCAGGACCACAGTCCCACTCAGACCCTCAGCGTGGACTCAGACTTCAGCCTGCCTCAGTCCTGCTCCATCTGCTTGGACTCCATCCATCCCATCCTGTCCTACTCTGTCCTCAAGTGTCCGTCCTGCCATACCAGCTGGTTCCACAGAGACTGTGTGCAGGTACCTCTGACCCTTCAGGAGATCTTCTAAAGAAGTCGATCATCTGGTTTTAAAGGCTGCTGTTACACTTAGACTCAGCTTTATTTATCCATTGAGTTTACTCCTTTTAGGGAAATTCTGGTTCTAGGAACTTTTATAGAGTAAAAGCAAGATGCCATTAAAGGTAAAAATATAACAGATAAAATAAAAAGAGTGTTTGTAGCCAAAAAAGCATTAAAAAGAAAGAAAGAAAAGTAAAAAGCAGATATAATTATAGATGTTAGTAAATGTGGATGTTTTTAATTCCTGTTTCTAATGAGCCTTTGATTCTCTGCTGAGTCCCAATCACATCATCTAACATGCTTTAGAAAGCCACCGCCCCATCCACTGGAAAAACACACTAGAAATAACTCAAAATGACTTAGATCAAGTTTATTTACCCTTAATTTAAGTCAGTAAATGAGACAGTTTACCAATGGAATGAGTATTTCTACTCTTAAAATAAGATAATTGGATAAAAAGCACTTTAAATCAGACAATGCAATAGTTTCTTTTTTATTTTTAAATGGTCTTGTTTCATTGGCAAAGAGTCTCACTTACCTCCTCATTCAGAACAAAGGCACTTATTTTGAGGAAAAAATAACTTATTTTGATTTTATTTTTTTGCATTGTATGGAGTGAATTTTATTTGAAAAAATATATTACAACCAGAAATAAAACTTTAAAAATGTATTTAATTGAAAGAGGTTGTAAGTGTATCTTTGCTGTTTTCTCAGATTATATATTTTATAGTTTTTTATTTTTTCCTACTTTATTTTTCTAAATGGTTTGTATAGATTTTATATTTTAATGTTTTTTTTCTTCTGTTAAAAGACTGAATCTGTTCAAACTGCATTTTCCTGGTGGCCCCTCTGCAGAAGCAGGCTTTATTCTGGAGAGGCTGTTTTTATTGGTCCACAGAGACATTTTAAATCTGCCTTAAAGTGACATTTTATATTGGCCTTAAAGGAATAGTACACCCAAAACATGATTAGCCTTCATTTTCTACTC